GGAGGAGGAAGAGGAGGAGGAGGAGAGGGAAGTTTCTGAAGAGGAGGATTCGGGATACAGGGGGAAGGAGAGGAGAGGGGGAATTTGCAGCAAGCCAGAAGCTGGAGCTGCATCAATTGAGGGACTGTTTATGATTGACAAGCGGCCGGGAGAAGATGCAGATGAGCTCTACTACAAAGAGAAGCGATGGGATGAAGAGGCAAGCACGCAGAAAGGAGCTGAGGAGGAGGAGCAAGACGAGGAGTTTGTGGATGAGGCTGGCGACGAGGACGAGGATGATGACGACAACGATGCTAAAGTCCTGTTCTCGAGCAGAAACTCTCATGTGTAAGTACATTAGAGGAATTAGAACCGTAGAGGCATGTGACAGATTAAAGGAAAAACCTGAACCTTTGGAATCTGTGGTTTGGGCGCAATGGTCACTTGAATCAAGGCAAATGGTTTTGTAGTGCTCATCTTTATCCTGTAATGAAACATTTTTATCCAGATGGGAGTGGTCTATTCAAGGAAAGCAATAGCTCCATCTACAGAGCAAGAGGGGTCATTTCATAGTTTGATAATAATCAAAATACCAAATACATTAGAATATTTTGGTAACCATTTAGCTCAGGGGTTTCCAACTCCAGGCCTCAGGGCCAGTGTCCTGCAGGTTTTAGATCTCACCCTGGGTCAACACACCTGAATCAAATGATTAGTTCATTACCAGGCCTCTGGAGAACTTCAAGACATGTTGAGGAGGTCATTTAGCCATTTAAATCAGCTGTGTTGGATTAAGGACGCATCTAATGCCTGCAGGATACCAGCCCTGAGGCCTGGAGTTGGACACCCCGATGTAGATGATTATCAGATTTTAAAAATTTAGATGTGTAGGTACACTTTATTTCATTAAATGGTTTGAAAGTTTCAGTTCAATGTTATTTATACAGCACCAAATCACAATAACAGTCACCTCAAGGCGCTTTATATTGTAAGGTGAAAAGAGAAGAGGGGAAAAAAAAAACCAACAATCACATGACCCTCCATGAGCAAGCACTTTGGCGACAGTGGGAAGGAAAAACTCTCTTCTAACAGGAAGACACCTCTGGCAGAACCAATTTTGAGCAATACTTTATTGAACACAGTCGTTTGACACTTCAGAAAGGACAACTTTTTTTACCGCCTTCTAGGGCTGTGCGATATGACCAAAATCTCATATAAGAATTCTATCATCCGATAATGATATAAATCACAAAAATGTAACATTTTCTGTAAATTCTGTGAATCTCGGGCAGCTCGACTTGCGTGAAGTGTTTCCAGCTGTGCGTCATGTAGCTGGAGTCCAGTGTTTTAACCGATGCATGAAACAATACATTTTTAGACATAAGTTGTAACAGCTGCCGTTTTCTTTGTGAGTATTTATTACACGGCGTGCTGCGGGGAAAAGCCTGTTCTGACGTTTGAGTCTTAAGGTTTATTTTTAGCACCTGGCGGCTCTTTTTTAATTCTCATCTGTAAATACTCTGCATCTTTCACGTGATTCAGTTTATTTTGAAAAGTCTCAACAGGATCTTGAGCTTTATTGTGAAAACTTTATGTGGAACATAAACAAGCGGACACACATGCTGTTACCGTCGTTGTTGCTAACCACAACGCATAAAAACAGGCGCTTGTCCGTCTGTAGTGTGGTTATATAAAATATAAGAGAAAGAGAGAACTTTAAGAAATTAATATATCCACTACAGTGACCATCAAAACGATGAAAAAAATTGCCGTAAACAATTTATTTTGCGACACCACGAAACAAACGATAGCGTAAAATGAAACGTTTTTATATCATCATCCAATATATATCGTTATATCGAACAGCTCTACCGTCTTCTCTGATGAGAAGATCGATTCCACACAGTAAATGTAACGCTGGTTAGCTCAGCATAGACTTGAAACGAGAAATTATTAGCTTGGGGGAAAATCCGCACCAGTACCTCTACTACATTATATTACTGTTGCCAGGTATCATTGATAATGATGGCGCTGATGAAGAAATTTAGCAGCAACCTGAAGCACAAATTAACCTTTAAAAAAAAAAAAAATCAAGCCTAAATAATGTCCTAAGACCTCAGAGCTCTGTGTTGTTTAAAAACTTTTAGGTACAATAATGTTAGGGACTATTTGCAGCTGCGCATTGAGACACATTTGGTGTTATATACTATCTGGCAGCATGCACTGTGTATGTGGGACTGTAAATATATAACATTTATTATAAACAATCATGTATTGTACGACGGGGCGGCACTTTTAGGTGTTTTATTATTTGAGGACAGCAGTGTATCTGCAGCACAGCTGAATATGTTTGCATCAGCTCGTTTTGGGTTTAATCTTTTTGTGAGGTTAGCATGCAGACGGTGTTCAGACACATCGTTAGATTTTATTATACCTGTGCAGAGGTGAGAAATGAGACACCACTGCTCCTCCTGAGGAATTTTTATTCCTGTGCCTATTCATTTCAGGAAAGAGTTGTCCAGCCGTATTGACCCCGGCCTCAAAGTGAAGGAGCTCGGGGGTTTATACATCAGTTTTGATGGCAGCAAATCAAAGCCTGTCTCCAGTTCACTGCAAAAACTAAAGGAAAAGAAGATCCAAGATGAGGTAAATAAGCGATTGATTTCTTTCTTTCCCCCCTCTTCTTGAAGGTGATCTGTGGTGTAGAATGAATAATGAACTCCAAAGCTATGCAAGGGCGATGAGGTGGCGCTATTAAAGGTTTCTCTACAGTTCTCACTGACTTTGACCTTTTTATCTTGGAGCAGTGGAGTGTTCTGACAGTTCAGTTGTTTTTGAGAGTTGTGGTTTGTGTTGATGTCCACAGGTGATGAAGAAGAGTGTGATTGGACCAGACTTTGAAAAGAAGGATGCTGTGCCGCCATACAGTGAATCCAAACATGCCCTAAAGCTGAAACGCAGAGTACGTTTGAAAAGAAATTGCTTTGATTGGTCGATTCTAGTTTTATTCTCTGCATTTGTGCAGTCACCTGTGACACATACCTAAAAGAGTAAACGGTAGTCATCACAAATGTTGTTTCTGCATCACTTTTCTTTCCCCAGGCAGAGAGGGAGAAGTCAACAGGGGATGGTTGGTTTAACATGAAGGCCCCGGAGATCACTCAGGAGCTGAAAGGAGACCTCCAAGTGCTGAAGATGAGAGCATCCTTGGATCCTAAGAGGTTCTACAAGAAGAACGACAGAGATGGCTTTCCCAAATACTTTCAGGTCGGTGGAACTGTCCCCCTGCTTCTTAGTTCTTTACACTTGTGGTTATCAATATTGATTTTGTAAAAGTTGGTTAACTTTGTTTTTATAGTCCAGAGCACTCAGGGACTACACTATCAATATCAGTGCGTGTGCTGAGTGTGATGTTTTCCTGTGTGTGTTGCAGGTTGGTACAGTGGTGGACAACGCTGCTGACTTCTATCATTCCCGTATCCCTAAGAAGGAGAGGAAGAGAACCATTGTGGAGGAGCTGCTTGCTGATGCAGAGTTCAGACAGTAAGTGGGCACCTGCAGTGGGTGTGGTTTTATTATGAGACATCTCCCCTTCCACCCTCTACCTCCACTGGGCATGTAGACTTGGAAATACTCTCAAAAATTAACAGAAATTATATTTTTTTCAGCCACTTTAAATTATATATGGTTAAGAGCATAAAAGGAACCACAATGCCACCACTATGTCAGCCGACAAATTATTGTCGACAAATTATTATGTAGACATTTAGTTTGTGCATCCTCCTCAGGTGTAGTTGGAAAAGTAAAATTTAAAAGGGTTTGTCCGTGTGGGTCTGCATTCACATCACGGTAGTTTTAAGCACTTGAGCTAACGGCAACTAGACTTCTTTTTAAGTTTCTAGATGTTTCACGTCATCCAAAAGGCTCTTTGCTTCTGACAGATGATGAAATATTTCACTTCTAGTGAGGTTGTCATGTTCCAGATAGTCCTGAGTCGTTAACCCACCCCGTCGTCATCTGAGTCGTTAGTCACATGAGACAGCATGTGAATTGTTGAAGAGCAAAGGTCATTTACATCCGCCTGGAACAGCCATCGCTGAACTAATGTGGAGGCCTAAGCTACGTGTAACGCAGTATTGAGATCCCTTCCCGGGCAATTTAACTCCCACTCACACCTTGACCTACCTGAATGACACATGATGTCAGGGTGGGGCAGTGTCCACCTTCAGGGGAACCACACTACCAGTTAAATACGTAGCACTTCCATTAGCTGTTAGAACCTCACAGGTGAAATGCTTTTTTATGAACGAGGTGACTTCTTATTCACGCTTACCAAGATAAGCATGAAACACAGGACTAAATATTTCTGTCCGTCACAAATAATTACAGACATTTACAACACAGTTCTTCATTTCTGAGGCGTAGAATTGTCTGACTCGTACATTTAGTGATCTTTACCTTTGCTACGGCAGAGATATAAAACTAATTTACAAGCCACAGTTACTGGATACAAAAAGACAAACATTAAATACACACTTTCCTTCTCTTCCCAGGAAAAACAAAAAGAGGTACCAGCATGTTATGGCAGAGAAAGCAGCGCAGGAAGCTGGCAAGAAGAACAGGAAGAAGAAGAAATTCCATAAGAAGTAAATCTGAAGACTTGATGTGATGAACAGTGACTCTGAGGGGCGTTTCTCTCATTTAGAAATGAAGCTCATCAATACAAAATGGCTTTTTGAAGCATTTTTAATGTTTTGGAAATTAAACACTCATTCATGACACTTCGGATAGACTGTTTACATGTGTATACATCAAGAGGCTGGCTGTATAAGACACACAGTCCCAGACAAGTTGATTCAGTAAGAACAATATTTTAAAACATCCTTGTATAGTCCTCATTAAATATGGTGTACATGCTCATATTTACATCTGAACTTTTAGTTTTATCAATTCAAGTGTAAATGCTTTGCTGCACAGCAATCAGTCCCACTAAAATACACAGCATGAACAATTAAAAAAAATTTAAAAATCATGGTGCAATTCATTAATTTTCTAAGAGCTCGTGATCTGAAACAAAAACTTTGGGGTTGTCAAAATGTTCTTTGCTGAAATTTTGGTGTTAAACTTATTGCTCCTGTAATACTGAAAAATCAGGGTTAACCCTGAAGTTACCTTAGCATGGTTAAATCCCTCCACTTACAAGTCTCTGTAAAGTCGTGCAGCTGTATGTTGCATTATGTTAACAACAACCACTCACAAAAACAGCTGCCGAAGAACCAAAACTGCGTCGTTATCTGCTGTAGTTCCAATTCAAGGTGAAACGAGCCTCCACGCTCTGACAGCAGAATAAAATACCTCTGTGTCACACGACCTGTGTGTCAGTAGCACAGAAACATTACACACACTTCAGATGTTTCGGTGTAAAGGCTGTGAAAGCGAATGCCTTAATTTTTTTCATTAAAGCTCTGTGTCTGCTGTGCTTTCATTCAGGATTACCTTTGTTCCTCCTCACTCTCCCTCTCAAATCTCTGCAGTCTCTTGTAGCTCTTGGATCCCAACAGTGGCTCTTGGCTACCGTCTTGTCTCTTCTTTGTGTTGCAAGAGATGAGCCCTTAACAGCTGCAGCTTACATCCACTATGTCACTTCCTACGCGCGCACACGCACATAAACTGTAGCTTCTTTATACCTGAGCCAATTTCACACACAGCTTTAGCGAAATTAGGCGATGTCTCACTTCAGTTACAGCATCAGGTTTTTTCTTTAAAAAAAAAAAAAGAGCCCAGCTGAGAGGTGGGAGTGAAGTGGTGCCTCGATGCTTTTGAATGTAACCTCTGCACCAACAAAAGCAAATCAGCACGTGCTGGGAAGGTTTGCAATTTAAATGAACAAGAAATAGAGCTTAATTAAGATACATGTGCATATCTGTGACAGGCTAACGTGTTAGTGTCTGTATGTACAAAACTGGTAGCCTGCAGAACCTGTTTTTAAATATGACTGTGATATGTGCATTATCAGTTACTGCTCTAATAATTAAAACTCTGAGTACGGCAACTTCCATAATTTGGTCTCTTCTAAGTCAGATCAGAGGGTTAAAGGTCAAAGCTTGCTCTTTGGTCCAGGTTTGTTTTGTGAGTCTGAAGAATCCTCTGGACTCGGCTATGGATTTGCTCCCAGTGTGGAGGACTGGTCTGACTGGCTCTGAGTCTGGAACACAAAGAGGCAGATGGAAAACTTTCACTAACAGGTATCTTGGTCGTTGTGTCAGGTTATCATCAGGCTTTACTGAACAAAAAACAGACAGAAAAATTGCTGCAACAGCTTCGTCTTAATTTGATCTTTGTCTTCAACCCTCAAAGTTTATTCCTCAGAGCTAAGCATAGATATAGACTTTGTTTTAAGGGTCCCCAAGATAAAAATGTTTATTCTAATAAATCCTTAATTAACATTGTGTGTGTGTGATCAACACACTCTTCATTAATAAATACATTAACAAAAACACTGTTCTCCTTACAAGACCTTCTTTTGTCCACTAGTCTGTGCTGTAACCCAAGGTAAGACGAGTGGCTGACAGGGCCAACACCCTGGTAGTGCATAACCTTCATAAACAACATTTAAAACTCCACCTAAACCCTCATTTTGACTTTCATTACTCCGCATTTACATTTTTGTGGGGCCTCGACCAGCTACGCGTTAAACTGGCGGCATAAACGGACTCCATCGGCCCAGTGTAAATGTGTCTGCGCGTTGACCGCAGACAGTTACGAAACTGGAGATCCCACTAACAAAAATAAATTCCGGCATCGCCTCTCATCCACGTTCATTTGTCGGTGGCGGAGGGGTGATGACTGACAGACTGACTGGTGTCTCGGCCCGGCTCGTGTCGGAAAGGAAGCTTTTCATCTGTAATCAGATAAACACACTACCTGCTTCAAAAAGTCATCAAGGACAAATCATCCAGAGACATGAATAGACTGAGACTCCGGGGCTTAGGGGGCAAACGCTGCCACTGGCATCTGTCATTTTCTTTATAGATCAAAGATTCGTGGTAAGACGTGCCCCTCTCCCTGTCGCGGGGAATCTACAAAGGCCCACTCTAATCTCCCACCCAGCAAATCCTGTCGCGTTTCCAATTGAGGGAAAAGTATCATTCATTTCCTGCAATTTACTTTGCAGTTTAAGATTGTCCATTGATTCCACTGTTTACTTATGGACTGAGCGGACGGAAAAGGGAAGCAGAAACAAACAAACAAACAAAACGGAGCATCGGTCCCATCGGCGTTGTCAACTCGCAGCTGCTGTGATCGATGACAAGGTCTCTCTGAATGTATTAAAGTGTGCATCGGGTCAAATGCATCAGTCTCGAGCTGAAACACAAATCAATACCATTTTCCTCTTTGTTTTCCCTTCTCTCTGCCTCCTCTCTCAGTAATGAACAAACATGACAAGACATCAGCTTCTGTAATTTAAAAGGTGGAGGGGAATTCATCCTGCCTGTCGAGTGTGATCAAAATTAAAGATTGGATGTGCGTGTACAAACACACAGACACTCACACCTCACAGACCAGCAGCAGCAGCAGCAGCGTATGACTAACATCTCACGGGATTTCCATATATTTGCTGTACACTGTAATGAGACTCCTACAGGTGCATGTTTTGCTTTTAAGATCTTTTGAGCAAACAAATGATTTACACAGATGGATCAGGATAAATTCAGGGCAAACATCACAAAAAAAGGAGGATTATGTTCACTCCTGTGTGTACCTCGAGTATGAACACAATCAGATTTGTTTTTCGTGGCCAGAAAAACTTAACTCTGGGGCTCAGAGGTGATCCTCACAGTGTTTTCCTGATAAACACCTTAAGATTTCATGCTTCGCCGGGTTACAAACATGCACCGCATTAACTGCGTATTTGCTTTTTTCTGTCATCAGCATGTGAATCAACAAAAAACTGCAGAGGTTGGTGATGCTGGAAGCTTTCTAACCTGTCTGTGTGCTTCAAAGTAGACTACACTTATATACAGTTTTATTTGACTTTTTGGTAATGAATGAAGACATGACACCTGCCTTCAGTTTGTCCAGAGAATAATGACGAGAAATTAAATCAGATTTTGTTGTTCTCTGGCCATTAGATTCTTTTAAAATGAGGAATAAATGGTTTTAATTTTGACACATCCAGTCATTTTAAATATTTTTAAGAAAAGAGGATTACCTTTCTCTGAGGGAATGGCTGCTGCGACTCAAAGGATTTCTGGAGTTTTGTACAGTCAGGTTGGAGGGAGCTGAGGCAGAACTTCTAAGCAGGCCTTTAATTTGGGGTTCATGTCGGGATGGAGTCTTTGGAGGAGAGTCCTCCCTCACAAATCCCGATTCCACCTAGAAGATTTCAGAGGGCAAAAGGGTTTAGAGGGCGATCGTGGCTCAAGAGTTGGCAGTTCGTCTTGTAATCGGAAGGTTGCCCGGTTCGAGCCCCGGCTCCAGTGTCCGGCAGCCTCGCCTCTGTCAGTGCGCCCCAGGCAGCTGTGGCTACAATGTAGCTGCCATCACCAATGTGTGTGGATGACTGAATGTAGTGTAAAGCACTTTGGAGTCCTTAAGGACTAGTAAGGCGCTATACAAATACAGGCCATTTTTAGAAGCTATTGGTGACCAAACCTTAATCGCGTGTTCTGAAACATTTCCCAACCAAGGAATTCAAACCGCACACCTCAGGAATTAAATCTACATTATTTATTGATCATTTTTTATTCAAATCTAAAAATCAGGCCACTTGACAGGCTGACAACTTCATCAATATAATTTCTATGATGATTGTTTAGATTTGAAATTGACCACAGTGTCAAAAGTATGAACAACAGGGCTAATTTATATGTATAAACAATGAATATTAAATATAAATAAAATATAAATAAAATGTGTGTTTATCTGTCACTGATACTCATAAAATGACCAAAATCAGAGCCCGCTGGACCGCCAAACCTAACCTGCAGAATGAGAAGACTACAGAACAGTGTTGTGCTGATGTCCTGTAGCACCAGAAGTATTCCTGACTCATTGTATTTTACAGTTACTGATATTATAATTGGACTTACTCTCGCTGTTCTTGGCCTGTAACTCCCAAGCAGAGAAGAATCTGAAAGGAAAAGGCAAGTTTTTAGGAAAATATACAATTCGGAGTAAGCCTACAGTATTTCCTTTAAATAAGAAGCACCGCTTCCCAGCACAGAACAGCTGTACAAACAGGCATACGCACACATGAGCCAATCAAATCAAACCACTGAAGCTGAAGAGAATAGCTTTGGTCATATGCAATGTTGGGAAACGTTGAGTCCGAGCATTCATATGGGTGCTACTGTAACACGGACAAAATAACTGGAGTCCAGGTGGCAACGGCCACCCTCGGCAGGATTTTGGATCCCACTTATTTATGAAAAAGATGGGAAAAGATGGGTGGAACCATGACGATGGCTTCATTTTTCAGGATCAGAAGCTACATCCATTACTTACACTGTTTATGGCCCCACCATTACACAAAAGCTGGCCAGGAAGAGCAAGAGCAATGTGACTCAGAGTGATGGCATCGAAACTCCAGAAATACCAATCACTCCCACGGGATGCAGTGGCACAGGCCCGGTCATAATATGCAGACCTGAATAACAACCCTAACCCCACTGGGACACTTCAAGAGGTGCTGTGTTCATAACCCGACAGGTAAAAACTGTTTGGGCAGCAGGATTTAATGTTGGGCCTGATGAGCATTTACATCTGTGTCTACTTGTAGTAGCTTTCATTTGAAAGGACTGAAGGAAATAAGAATTCTGGGAGCATTTGATCAGTGATCGTCATACTTACTGATATCCCCTAACGAGCTCAACAAACCAAAGCAGAAATCAATCTGCAAGACTGTTACACAATGTTATCGTTCGGATGTTATTAAAGGCATCAGACCAAAAAAGAAAGTAAACACATTTTTTATGAGACCAAATCCAGATGGCTGCATTTGGACAAAGCACTCAGCACACTCAGGGCTTTGTCCAAAAACGCTTGAAAACAAACAAACCCTGCAGCAAATACACTATGTGATAGCTATGAATGTGTTACAATACATGGACTGAGTTTATGTGTTTAGAAGGTTTACCTGTGGGGTCAGCCGAGAAGCTCACGGAGCGCCGATGAACGCTAGTATTTAGTGCACAGGAGGAAAACGTTCCCATCTCAGAGACGTCGCTGCAGCGAGAAACCTGGCACCAAACAACAATAAAAGCTCATTTCCTTTTATACAACGTAATTAACTTACTTTGCATGTGCAGTAAAACAACGCCAGTGAACAATGAGGACTTTGGGGAGTTTTTACCCCTTTTTAAAACGTTAACCGCAACACTTTGCACAACAAATCCAGACGCGTCTCTCCTGTCACAGCGGATAAATGAAATAAACATCAGTGTACATTAACCACAATCACTTGTTTCTTCCCACTGTTATCTCCTAGTCATTCTCTGACTAAAAATCCAAAAGAAAAACCTACGTACGCAGAAAAACACACCTGATTCTTTGTAGGGCTGAGCTTCCCTTTCCACACAACCCAGGAGCTGAGGCTCTGAAATGTGCACTGATAATGCATTCACCATGGGGCTAATGGGGCTACTTCATTAGGTATCTATTTGTTAATTGCAGCTTGACTCTCAATTACCAGAGTTAATTGTCGAAAGGAGATTCCCCCAGGAAATTCAGAGGCGCAAAAGCACGCTCCTGTCCTTAATAAAACGCCCATTGTATTCTAGTTAATTCCATTCATGTGTGTGACAAAAACAAACGCAGCACCTAATAATTTCTTTAATGACAGCGTGCGAGTGGAGTCTGATATTCATATCTCGGGATTAGATTTGATGTAAATGAAGAAGCAGAAATAACAGAGGGGAGGGGCGGAGGACTAAAGGCTGTGTTGTTCTTGTCCATCGATCGCACGCACTCCCCTAAGGCTGCGCGATCACAAAAATCACTCCCTTTCATGCGAAAACCTCCAACAGCAGCGATACGGCAATAATTAAAGTGTTAACAAATAAAAGCGTCCCGGCCTAAATGCAGGACGCGCGCTATTAAAAGTGTGCTCGAGCCCCTCGGTGAGGATAATAGGCCATATTACACGCATACACAGTGAAACATGTACGTGACGTCAAAATCCATTAACGGCTCAGGTAAAAAGATTAAGATGCTCTCTTAATATGCCCTCCACTTAATCCGCTCACTAGATTAAGCAAAATTTTGGGGCGCTCCCACTGAGGTTTGAACTACATCAGCAGAGGAATCCATTAATCTTATAACCCCTCTGCACTGAACATGTGTATTTTTGGCATTAAATGAACCATTATGCTAAGTTGTTGTTTTTTTTTCTTCCCTTAATGCTACAAACCAAGAAGGGCGTCGGGCTCTCGGTTTCTTTCCTAAAGTAGTGAGGCCCCAGCTGGAGGTGGCTGAGCCTCTGCCTGGCATCCTCGGACAGCTGGCACATCCTTCGGTGGGTGTAAGGAGACAGGGCTCGCGTCCTTGAGGAAACGGTGGGCTGCTGGTAGCCGCGCTCGGCAGAAACTCCGGATAGGGCGCATTTTTTTCCCTTCTTGTTTTTTGGAGGACTGCGGCCTGGCGGGGATTGCCTGGATGTTGATGACGGTGCAGAGTTTGTAATTTTAGCATCAACACTCAGCTTGTCCTTCCCACTTTTCAAAGAGACACACTTCCCACCATCTGCTTTGGAAAAATGCCCGCTGGTAGGCTTTTTTGCTGAACTCCGTCTGGAAAGGGTTAAGGATGGCCTCGCTGGAGAAACACAGCCAAACTGGGGTGAAGTGACAGAACATGAGAGAGGAAAAAAAATGTTATGCTGCTGTAACATTTTGAACTAGCTTCACATTTGAATTTTAAGGAGACACACAGGATTTGAGCGGTTTCTCTGCAAACCGCACAGTTTGTTCCTTCGCAGACGCATCGGCCATTTTAGCCATTAAGGCAGCTGCTCTCACTCTTGACACAGACTTGCTCTCCCTGGACAAAACCATTAAACCATTAGCTAAATCATTCAGCTTAAGTGTTACAACAACAGCTCTCGCAGTCAGCACTGCCATGGAGACAACCTCTGCAGAATTACTTCAATAACTCTAATGGCCACTAACATCATTCTCCCATGCAATATCCCACTTCCTGCAGGTAATGCCAGCCGGGGATAAATAAGTTAAGATAAAATGTTAATTGCATTTGATGGCCATCTCCAGTCTAATATGATAAAGAGGCACTACCTGGCTGTAAAACAAAGATAATCTAAATGCTAATTAGGGAAATCACACAACATTAAAACTATTTTTAAGAGAAACCGAATGATGAATAAATTCTCATTGTGGCTGGTGCCATTTGAGAATGATCGGATTTAACAGAATTAAGACAAGTATGCCCTCGTCCTCTAATCCCCCACCATCGCTGACTTCCTTTGGCTCCTCTTTTCTCCTTTTTCTTCTACGTCTTCACTGGTGGATGGTCACCGAGAGCGAATCATTTTTTTTCCTGTGGCCGGCTGAGTGGAGAAGTCTTATCTGGGTTTGTGTGATAAAGACACAGTTCAACAAAGCTCGGGATACAGTCCACAGAAAACATGCAAGAGGCTTTGTAAAGCTGCACAGTGGCACATCGAGCTAATTATCAATGCACTCATCAAGCTGAGACGACTACATACTGCAAATCCAACAATGGCAATAAGCAAGATTTAATACTGACTATCGTCATTTCAGCATGCTGCGCTAAATAAAAGCACAATTCATGTCAACATTAAGTGAACTAAACAAAAAGTTGGGTTTTTGGGGGAGTTTCACCAACTATAGTGTGACGGTGTGATGGTGCTAGTTGGAACGTTATAGGACATATCGGCAAAAGCTATTCATCCTCACTTTCATAACAACATTTCACTCACAAAAACTGCAGAAGTAGCTAAATTATTTTCTGGTGTGACCCAAAGTCACAAACTGACATTAGCATAACATCTGTAAGTCAGATAAAAGGGTTTAAAGAGGATTCAGGACACAGCATGAGAAAACACACAAAAAGCGTATTCATCAGAACACTTTTAGAGATTTTTTTGAAAGTCACAATTTTTCCACATCTCTGTTAGAACAAGACATGATTTGTCAGCTGGGTGGGCAGGTAGTCAGGGAGCTGCCTAGATGCTGAAGAGCCATTAGGAGAGAGAAAATGGAGAAATTCTACTGTCTGACAGCCACAGTGGTGCTCTGATCCAGACATCCACCCCGAGGGGCCAGGAGGAACACGCTGACAATCTGCTTCACTGTCACCGACATCCCATTTAAACAAATAGCTTAGCTTAGGTTACCGCACCGGGGAAATTCACCGTAGCATTTCTTTCTTCTTTTTTGGGGGAAGAGGAGGAATGTGAGCCTCTGTGTGATGGATAACATGTTCGTAACTAGAAAGCTGGTGAAATATTTTGCTAATACCTTTTTCATCATTATTCCACCCTCTCGGCATTCATCTCCTGAAATAACCTGCGTACACACTCTGCACATGTACGCAGAATCATACAGGACCACGAATCAGCTGTTATACCTGTGGCTGCAGCTTAAGGCTAGTACTAGTTTTTAGAATGATTCGATATATAACTTATTGTCCTACATAACAAAATAAGAACTGAACACATCAACAACGACGCCAGGTCCTAGTGATATTAAATTCTCTTCAGATGTCAGTAACAACCCATCGAATCCCCACATGCAAAGAAATCAAACCGCTGTAAAGTTAAGATGAGAAAACCGTGGCAAACTTCATTCCTAGTTTCCTTTTTTGATGATTAACAGGGGAAAAAAGATTTTAAAATGTCATTGCACCGACCTAAGCACAGTAAACCTTAAAAATCCACAAAGAAGATTTATAGGTGACCCATCATCTGCATGATTACAGTAAAAAACCCCAAAAACAAACCTAACCGGCTGATTCTGTTCTAACTCCCTGCACTCGGACATGTGAGACAAGCCTCATTATCAGCATCACCAATCTGCCTCCCTGTAATTACATTCAGAGAACAGATACCCTTGAAACACTGCCAGTATGGATGGATAAATGCAGTAGCCATGGCAACAATAGAAGTTGGATATGTATAGTGGAAACGGTCGTATGTGGCGGCAAGCGATACCTCCTATTAGAGCCCTCCACAGATCAATGTTCGCTGTTCGAGTTGTGGTCAACGCTGGCACGGCGATGCCGAGCACGCAGCAAAAGTACAATTAATTTAAAACTGGACACACAGTGTGCGACTGCGGGTTTGCAAACACCTCAAAGATGTAATAAATAAAAAGACGCTTACAGGTGAGGCTGTCCGGTTGTCTCTCCCATCACTGTCTTCTATGACTGATGTCGTGGAAAACACTACTTTAGGGGAGATTCCCTAGAGGGAGAGGGACAATAGACGAAACACAGGGGTTTTTACAGGGAGATGAAGACAAAAAGACAAATAACAGAGCTGCCTGGAACACCAATTTACAACTGCAAATCTTCAATCTGCGCCTGGGTTGAGAAAAACAAATCTCACAGAAGAGAAAGGCTCCAGTGATGTTTAAATAATACGGCATTTGGAGAGAGACATCTAAATTGCTATGTAGGACCTCAAACACAAACACATAAAAGCAATGGTGAGGGGGGGTGGGAGGTGTTTAAAGACATTTAAATATTGCCAGTTAGTGCCTTGGAGGACAAGGGGAGGATAGAAAAGCAACCCGCAGACATGGAGAGATGAAGTGGTAGGAAAGAGGTATAGAGAAGACTTGGATTATATAAAAAGGAAAGAGGGGGGAGCAAAAAAAAAAAAAAAAAAGAAAAAAGAAGAAGAAAAAAGATGAAAAATGACTGAAAAGACAGGAAGTTCTCAGCTCCATTTTCATGTCTGTATAGCAAAGACAGTCAACAGCTGCACGAGGAAAATGCCATCTTTTCTGAAGACAATACTTCAGTTTAAGACAAGACAGTTCTTTTGAACTGGTTATCTTGGTGGTGTAGCTGCCTGTCAAGTGCACCGACGCGAGAGCCACTGAGATTAGGAGGAGACTCACTTAGAGTGAGCAACAATGAATGACACGAGCAATATTGGTGCCACTCAAACTGGATCCCGTGGTGAACGCGGCGTGCGGTCTTTGTGACACGTGGATTATGTTGACAGGAATATCCTCCTTCCTTTAACTAATTCAGTATTGTGCTATTTGAAATTACTATCAGGACCCTTCACAGGCATGAAATATACACTCGTGCATTTAACTGCCAAATGGAACATTTCGAACTTCAGTGAGAGACTAAAGTTTAAATCCTTGACTTTGACTACTACTTGAAAATTTAAGAATGGATGTTATGTAACAAACTTCACACATGTCCACAAAAAAAAAAAAAAAAAAGACGTCCTCTCTTTTCAAGCTCAGAGGTCACAGCGTCCACGTTTGCAAAAGGAATTTTACATTTTTATTCATCAGACCGTGCGATGCTTTTTAAATTTAACCTCAGTCCATCTTAAACGAGCTCGAACCCAGATGCAGCAGCAGCGTTCCTGGATCTCGTTTGCATCTGTTTTTTTCTTTGCATGGTGGATTTTTTGCATTTGCATTTGTTGATATGGTGACAAACTGTGCTCTTTTAAAGTTTTCTCAGGCCCACACAGCGATTTCCACCACAGAATTGTGTCTAAATCACGTCCAAAATATTGCAGCCTGGTTTTTATTTACATTTTGCACAGCATACAAGCTCTTTTGGAGACTTTTGGGTTGTGAAACTCTGTTTGAAGAACAACTCTGCTTCCTGCTTCTTCACCAAAGATGAAAAACAAGGTTAGATAAAGCTGTATGCCTAAAGAGAACATTTATCCCGTTTATTGGCATTTGAGTATTTAATAGTAAAGGCTCACTACCAGCCTGCTGTAAAATAACTTGAAACTTACCAGTGTCCGTGGCTTATGTTTATCTGACATGTACATTTATGCACTGACAGGATATTAAACAACCTTTATTTCTTATCTTTGATTTATTTGGAATGCCTCCAATTGGATTCTCTTGTGTTTGCATTTTCTTTCCTTGCACCTTTATTGTCCATACTTGGCGCGCTGTTGACTTTTATTAAGCAGTTTTCAGAAATACACTGCAGCCCTGAACTTTTCTAAACATTACCTGACAAAGGTGCATGTCAGAATGCAAATGACTGACGTAGTCAGACCGGACACTGAACCTGCCAGTTTCCAGGTCCAAACTCTGAGGAATCTCTGATTTGCTGGCATATAACTGTCCGTTAAATTTACAGTGAGCGAGAGGGCATCATTTCCTGCACCTTCCCCTACAACAGGCACAGTATTCCTAACTGCGTTTGCTGTGGAATGCATCCTGTTGTGTGCTAGCATGTGCGAAAATGGCTTCATATTAGTGCTAATTCAATGTCCTGAAGACTTAATGAAAAGTTAAGATGATTTTAATCATTAAACAGAAAACAAAAAAGGGCAAAGTGTATGATAAGGGATTAATATATGCATGCATGTAAAGAATTCAAACATCTTTTTTGTTAGTGTACGACACAGAAAAAACCTTTGACTATTTTCTTTCACTGACTATATATGAGATCGATCATAAAATTGCTGTAAAGACACTTTTAAAGTTATGTTTTGATTTTTACATAAGTAGCAGTAAGTCACTTATAAACGGGCCTTAATGCTCACACTCAATGTATAACTTTAAAAACAAAAAACCACCTATATGGCCTCTTTAGAGCTTTCTAACACATAATTGTGATAAATGTTAGGATGTTGGCATAAACAGAAAACGCTTACAGGAAATGAGGATGATCTTTTCATCAGTATTTCTCGCTCTGCGACTCTTGAGCTCCACCTGGGACCTGGATACAGGAAATCTCTGCTGCTTTCCTCCATTGTGGCAAGTACCTCACCTTCTATAACCCATATACACACACAAAAAAAACCCCAGGATCATGCACACACACAGTCCAAGTTAAATATCCTGTTTTGCAGTGTAATGACTGGATACAGTGGGGACTTAAGAGGCCCATTTGGTATCATCAGAAAGCATACCTGGAGGCACCAACTGAATCAGCTCAAAAGATGTTGTGTCAGCTAAGAGGAAGGAAGGAAAGTATAAACAGACTGTGAGCTAATGATCGGTATCTCAGCTAATAGCCAATAAGCTTTCATAGGATAGGATTCGGGACTAAGAGATGAGGAAGCAAATCCCAGTAGGCCGTTTACCTTCGAGGAGGTCAGCTACATCAGCAGGGTCAACAACGCCGGGGAATATCTGGGAAAACACAAAGAGTACAGACAAAGCAAATCAATACTTATAACAAGATCTGGCGGACAGGCCAGTATCTAAGCGTACCAGTCTCCCCGGGGAAAACAAGGTCCCTCTCACTAAGAGTTAGGACACTAATGTTCATACTGGAGGGTTGCTGGTTATTAGGCACAGTGGGCTCATAATCCTTCACCACCTGAATACTAACTATGGATGAATGCTGGCCCACATAAGAAAGAACAAAAGGCTTAAACATATAGGTAACAATTTTATTAAGAAAAAAGTTTTGTTTTTTTTTAAAAAGCACCTAAAACACTTATGGACACCTCTTAAGATGAATCAAATGTAGATAAAAGTAAAGCTTATATAGACATAAAGCCACTAGAATTCCTGCATCCTGTCTAAACAAAACAGCCACAGACAGATGGAAATCCCGTGTCTCACACAGGGAGGCGTCCTTTATTTCTGTAGCAAATAGCTTTACCTTGACAAAAAAAATAAAAAATAAAACACATTGTGTGGTGGCAGAGCAAAGATAAGAGCAGGTAAACAGGTGTATGCTACATGTGAGCAAGGACAAATTTTGTATGCCGTCCTGCCTTCCATCCTTGGAGTTAATGTGTGAAAACCACTTAGCAATAAGAACTTATGTACTCCGCCCATGTCACCCGCATGTGTTAATTATCACAGGTTAAGCTGTGCATTAAAAATGCAAATTTATCTCAGCAAACTTCATTAAGATTTAATGCAAAGATAAGATAAGATGATTCTGACAGTCTTAAGAGCAAAAACTGTATGATAAGGCTTTAATACTGTATGTTTTCATATTTTTGTTAATGTACACTATAACTAATGTAGGGTAAATCTATGTCTGTCTGAATTTCCTTTTACTTTAATGATCTTTTATACACTTTTATTGCCAAGTCTAAAACTCCCACAGGCAGATGGAAATCTTGTGCCCAAATCAAGGAGCCGTCCTTTATTTCTATAATAAATTGCTTTATTCTCACCTTGACAAAAACCATTTTGTGCTGGAAAAGCAAAGGGAAGTCCGGAGGCACACAGGCAGTCTTCCTGTACTGGCCCATGATGCAGACACGGAGGTAGATATCATACTTCTTAGACAGTAGCACTCCCGGGCATGTGACCTGGTTATGAACAGTATAACAGGGCACAAATTCTACTGTGTTCGTTTATTATGGTTTTCAAACGTGTTTGGAAGAGTGCATTCATCAAGAGAAGCACACTTGCAAATATCCCAAAGACAACAGCAGTTAATAAACAATTACTAAAATACGCAATCCATGTGCAATCCCTCACATCAAGACTTCCTACTGTTACTGCTGTTAGGGTAACACAATCTTGGTAATTTAAGGTCAAAGAAAATGTTTTTGTGGAACAATGTGGAAAACATTAGTGTCAAATTTTGCTATATCTAACTTAATAGATAGATGATTGCTCCCACAGTTGATTTTTTCACACCAAGCTGCTTGCCTATTGTAGATTCACTCTTCCCAGTCTGGTGCAGGTCTACAATACTTTTCCTGGTGTCCTTCGAAAGCTCTTTGGTCTTGGCCATGGCGGAGTTTGGAGTCTGACTGTTTGAGGCTGTGGACAGGTGTCTTTTATACAGATGATGAGTTCAAACAGGTGCCATTCATACAGGTAACGAGTGGGGGACAGAAAAGCTTCTTACAGAAGACGTTACAGGTCTGTGAGAGCCAGAGATTTTCCATGTTTGAGGTGACCAAATACTTATTTTCCACCCTGATTTACGAATAAATTCTTTACAAATCCTACCATGTGAATTCATGGATTTTTTTTTTCACATTCTGTCTCTCACAGTTGAAGTGTACCTCTGGTGCAAATTACTGACCTCTGTCATCATTTTAAGTGGGGGAACTTGCACAATCGGTGGCTGACTAAATACTTTTTTGCCCCACTGTATGTCCAGACCATCTCAGCCTAGACTCTCTAACTCTGTCTCTACATTGTCCAACACTAGCTGTCCCTCTGATGTACTCATTTCTAATGCTGTCCCTCGTCGTGAAGATCTTTTAGTATCTTCAACTCTGCAACCTCCATCTCGGCCTCTTGTCTTGTAAACCTTCCGTTTCATTTTCCCAATTTCGTATTCTATGGTAAGTATTTCATATTGACACCTACTTTTGTGACAGTCAGTTGTGTTGACTTTTATGAACTTGAAGCAATAAACGGGACGGAAATCATCCTCACGCATAAAGTGGGCTTTAAGGTCAACCCAAAGTTTACTGAAACAGGAAATGACGCTTATCGTACACAGATAAATTATGAAAAAACGAATTACTTTCAGTTACTTAAAAACACCTAATGGACATTAAACCACTACAATCAGCTTTTACAGCAGAACCTCGGGGTCATTAGTGGACATCAATATTTCTATTAATGGTTTATGTATAAACAGATTAATACTGAAGTGACTCAGACATAAATATTAATACGTAAAAAGACTAATGCTACGTTCATGCCTTTCGTATCACCTCTAACTGTTTGCACTAATTGCAGTGACTCAATTAGAATAATTACGGCAGCATCAGTATTAACGTTACTGGTAACGACAAGGAGGAATTAGTAAGTTAATGAGACATGTCAGGATAACCCTTTTGTATCAGTTAGGGTTAGCTGGTAAGCTAACTGTGTATTTACGGAACCGTAACGGAAGGTTTGCTGAAAGAGGACGTAAGCTCGCTAGCTAGCAAACGTTAATAAGCTACGGCATCAGGTCACATTTTGAATTTCGTACCAAAGCAGCAGCATAAAGACGCACTTACTGCCTGAATGTCCAAGTACACCGTGCATTTCAGACAATGTTGATACCCTATAGAGGAAGAAAACTTCTTCTTCACCGAGGCCATTCATCTAACTTTCAAAGTTCGTTGTCATAGCTGCCAAACAGCAACAGTCAGGGAGCGGATGTGGGGTCACGTGACAGAGAAGTGGCGAATCAAAAGCGTGTTTGCTCGCACACACAATCACTGCACGTGTGCTCACATCGCCGCACTTTAGCCTGGATTTGTGTTCGTGTTTCCTAAAACCTCAAGTCACCATGTAAAAATGCTCTTTTTTAGCACTATGAACACAGATAAAAAATTTAAAAAAGCTTTGAAGTTAGTCTTCATATACTGTAAAGCTCTCCTCAATATTATTGTTATAATAGAGCAACAAGTACAAATAATAATTAACTGCTTTAATGTTTAATGACTAATTATAATACAATCAGAGATAAAAATTTAAATTGGGGGGAAAAAAGGGGGGGGGGGGGACAACAGGAGCGCATGCACTTTTTTCTTCTCAACAAAAAAATGAGCTGCCAAATGAAGGCCTTGGATGGAAACATAGATGAATAACCAGTCTGTCTCCTCTTGGTATTCAACAGTCCATGCTTTATAACCCAGGAGGAAGCCTCTTCTGGGTTTAGTCCTACAAGTACCAGTCATCCCACTGTTACAAATCTGTGAAAATAAGTCTTTATAGCCAGGGAGATGTGGAGCTTATAAACACAATGAAGTGTGAAGGATTCTCCTGCCACAGTGCTCTGCATTTTATACATGCTCAGCCTGTGTCCGTCTGGCTGGCTGTCTAGTGCCCGACACTTTCGCTCTTCTCCTTCTCTCGGTCTGCTGTGTCTCTGCCAACACCATTGCCTGTCTGGGACATCACCCCAGAACTGGAGACAAAAACAGACGAACATCAGTGACAGCGTGAAATTCAGAGAAGAGGAAAAACAAAAGTAGATTTGACAATAGTCACAGATAGATTTGCTTTCATGAATATCTAATTCTAGTGCCATACAGTTTTACCTTTGAATAGGAGTTGGTCTGTTGTCCTTAACGAAGTTATTGAGTTTGTAGTAATCCAGGAAGGTTCGAGCCACATTCCTGCCCAACTTCATGTCTGAGGACATGGCGTTAAAGCAAAGTGCCTTTGAATGAGCCTTAGAAACAATGAATCATTATAGGAAGGGTGCAAATGACCAAGAGGAAAGTGTGGAGTGAGGCATAAAGCTGGAAACATCCTCATTTTTATGAATAAAATGGGTCAAATGGGTATATGTAATATGAAACTGACAAGAATCATTAGCTAATTGTGCCATTGCCCTCAGCTCAGTGAATGATCACAGCAACTGTGTTCTGATTGTTTTTATTTTATGGTCTGAAGCTTTATATTTTGATTTTCTCTCACTTCATTTTAACATTATGATACTGCAACATGCATGCAAAGCATCAAACAGAAGCTTCCACACGCCACATACAACTGTATGTTTTATGAACAAGTCAAGCATAAATCATATTTCTGTCCAGACTTCACTGTTAACCTTGGCGTATGAATGCCATGGTCATGCTTTATGAGGTCACAGTTACCTAAACCTTTCCAATCACCCCGAGAAGGTTTATGCCTGGGTGATTGAGACTCAGATCCATTAGAGTGGTTTTCGTCCTGGTCGTCAAACACTGAAGCTGCTATTTATTTATTTATTTATTTATTTACCTTTATTTATTAACCTTTATTTAACCAGGAAGATCCCATTGAGATTAAAAACCTCTTTTTCAAGGGAGACCTGGCCAAGATAGGCAGCAGCAGATGTCTCACAGTTACAGAAATTACTCAAACACAGGCAGCAACAACACACATGCAACAATAAGTGAAAGAATACAAATAAAATAAAATAAAAAATTCAATAAAATTCAAACAAAAATAAAAAAGTCAGTTAAAATGACAATCAATCTAATTGAAACAGTTACATGTTATGGACTTGGCCTCAAGGATTCGTAGTTTAGATTTAAAAGCACTTAATGAAATGAATTCAGTCATTTTCCTTCTGCAGTTTGTTCCAGGCCGAGGGTGCTAAATGGACAAAAGCTCTTTTACCAAGTTCAGTTCGGGCAAATGGAACAGAAAGCAACAAGTAGCCATGCGGACGAAGAGAATACCGACCAACATGTTTCATTACAAGCAGGGAACATAGATAAGAAGGCAGCAACCCAAGTATCGCCTTATATATAAAACTGTATAAATGAGAGTTCCTCCGACTTACCAAAGCAGGCCATCCTACCTGAGAGTATAACTCACAGTGGTGAGTCTGAAATTTACAGTTAGTGATGAACCTCAGAGAAGCACGACACACA